ATGCTGCACAGAAAGTCATGAGAAAGGTGGTTAGAGTACACCTCCCTCCAAATAACTAAACCGAGAACTGAATAAAACCGATTAAACTGCTCTATTAGAAAGATCCTAGTGAATCACAAAAAATCATAGTGCTTGATTCAGTCGTTACAGACTGAATTAATAAGATAAAGCTCAAACACTAAGTTAACTGCAGAGAAAAAAAAATGCTACCCCAGTTGATCATTTGAGACCAAAATCTACATAAGGACAATAAAATAATAATTTATAAGGTACATTTACTCCCAATTACACGTCATAAAAGACATATACAAAACAGATAAAAATCCTAGAAGTCAAATATACCTCCTACAATCAAATGACAAAATATATGTATAATTCCAGCCATAGCAAGTTACAAGCAGCAGCAAGTGTAGCAGTCACTATGAAAACAGTTTATATGCTCTTAAACTTTTCTTTATTTCCTGCCACTGATCATATAACCCAGGGGTCCCCAATCCACAGGCCACAGAACAGTACAGTACCCATGCATAGGCTGTTAGGAACCAGGCCGCAAAGTAGGTGAGCAGCGGACAAGCCAAGCTTCATCTGTATCTGCAGCCACTCCACAGCGCTAGCATCACCGCCTCAGCTCCATCTCAGACCATCAGGCATTAGATTCTCATAGGAGCACGGGTCCTTGGTGCCAAAAAGGTAGGGGACCGCTGATAATCTTTATCTCCACTAAAGAAACATGCCAGTGTGATGGAAAGCAAAATATCTAACAGCATATTTTTGACAGAAGAAAGATTTTTCTTTTCAATCAAGCATGCAGCTCAGGGAAGGAAGGATGAACTCTCGACTGGTTAGCTATAATGAGACAAATCGAACCCCAAGGCCAATGGAGTGACATATCCTTGCTGGAAGGCCTCCATGTCCAGTATGGAATTAAGAACGAGGAGACCGGAAATCCTAGCTGTTTCTAGCAGCTAGTTTCTGGGCCTCGGTGACCTAATTTTAAAGTACATAAGTTGGACTAGTTGCTCTAAGAATGAAAATCTTTTATATTTATGAAAATCTTTCCAGCTCTATAATTCTTTGATTTCAACTTTGCATTTTATTGGGTGAACGCATTCCATATAGTCTCTAGAAAAAGCTATGCAACTTACATAACTGTACTATTTTTTCTTCTTTGGATTACTAAGAATCAATTCTACATAGAAATATAGAGAGGACCAAAAAAGTAATAAAAATCTTATTTCATTGAATGCAGACCTTGGGGATGTTACATGAAATGAGAAAAAAGGGAGAGAAAATAAATTATATCTAAAGCCACTTGATCAAGTATATTTACCTGAATGAGATGCAAAAAGTAATCTGAACTACTCTGAGAATGATCAGTCTCACTTAACTAAGACTTGTCTCATGAAAAATACAGCTCAAGATATAAGCATAGACATACTAATGTGTTTTCAGCCTATAATTGAGAAGAATACCTTTAAGTGGAAAAGATGCTGTGTAAGAACAAAATTAAAAAATTTTCCAATTAATAAGAGTTTGGGATATTGTAAAGAAATTCAAAAGACTTTTATGAAAAGGCAATACTTAGAAAAGAATCGGAGACTAAAACTCTTCAGAAATTTTCAGTGAGAATCTTTTTCTGATACACATTATTGGTTGACAGAAGTAGGACCCAAACATTTAAATACACTAATATCTAAATAAATATTACTCTTTTCTTACCTTTTGCATATATAAAAAGCACCCAACAAAAATGGAAAACTTCAGACACAGTACAGGGCTGTCGCCTTTGGGGGAGAGAAAAAATCATGAGGTAACAGAAAAATTAAAGACGACATCACAAATGACTGTAAATTAGGTGAGAAACAGAACCCAGTTAGAGGGAGAACAGATTCACTTCATGTGGAAAATGTCTTCACCAACCAAATATTGGTAAGGAAATAGCTGGGGACCAGGGAAAAAGCTCATCTTGGAAAGAAGAAAATTCTGAAGAAATACAAAAGCTTTTTGACTCGGAAGCTAAGTATGGTTGGGCCTGGTTAGTACTTGGATGGGAGACCACCTAGGAAGACCAGGTGCTGTGGGCGTAGGAAAGATTAAAAAAAAACTTTTTGAGGTCAAGGCAGGTAAGGTAGAAGAAAATTAACAATAGCTCTTTTGGTGACTTCAGCAAGGTTAATGCTGCTTTAAGACCCATGCCTACAGTCTAGTTTTTTTTCCCTCTATCATAGCCAATGAACTGTAAACCCTTCCTCTCTAAAAACATTCCAGATTAGACCAAGTCACAAAAGGACTCTGTAATGTAAATTCTGAGCTTCCTATAATTCTTATACTTCTTTCATTATGAGTACCTGTTGTATTTTGCCACACTGTCTACTAAAGAGAGTTCTGGAACGGTTTTAAGCTTGGCTTTTCTATAAAACCTCTGCCGAAGTTTAAATAAGACCTTTGTTGTCTCCACAGCCCAAGAGCCTTATTCTAACAAGGTACTTTGAAAAAAGAAATCAGGAGACTGGGGTTTAGCTTCTACAACTGTCATTAGCTAGGTACTTTTGCTCTCCATGTGCCTTAGTCTCTTTATCTGCTAAAAGATTATTCTTACCAGTCCATGGCAAGGAGTAAATGTCAGTGCCTTCCTTTAAAAAGAAGACTCCCTACCATAGGCACATGATAAACTAGTTTTAATGCCTGCTTGCAAGATTGAGTCAAACTTTTTAGCTCAACACTCCAGCCACTCTACAAACTGGCTCTATAAAAATGTGAGCACTCTAGAACAAACTTAACCTACTCAGCCAAATTTCCTCTTGCTTTGCTGCTTCAGTGTCTTCATTCTTTATCCTCTGCACAGAAGGCTCTCTCTACATATAACCTTACATATATACTATGTTTTTTCTTATACATACATACCTTTTTACTTAATGGAGACACTTTATGGTTTCTCTTTGGCATACCCAAATTGCCTGCATCACTACTCTTGCACTTTGGGGCCATTATTAAATAAAACAGGGTTAAGGATTACTTGAACACAAGCACTGTGAAACCTTGATGGTCGACCTGATAATCAAGACTGCTACTACAGACTACTGGGCAGGGAGCGTATACAGCATGGATGTTCTAGCCAAGGGGACAATTTACGTCCTGAGTGAGACGGAGCATGATTTCATCATGCTGCTCAGAACAGCATGTAAATTAAAACTTATGAATTCTTTATTTCTGGAATCTTCCATTTAATATATATATATTATATATATATATATATATATATTATGCCTACAGCACCTGGTCTTCCTAGGTGGTCTCCCATCCAAGTACTAACCAGGCCTGACTTTGCTTAGCTTCCGAGATCAGACAAGATCGGGAACGTTCAGGGTGGCATGGTCATAGACCCATTTAATATTTTCGGGCCACAACTGAATGTGGGTAACTGCAATCGCAGAAAGCGAAACTTTGGATAAGGAGAGAATTCCGTATCTCCAAATTCACCTATCAAATTCCTACCCATCACTGAAGACCTATTTATACATATTCCATAGAAGCTTACCTGACTGGCTCATACAGTGGTTTATTTCTGCCTCATGAGTCCCACATTTCTATTAGCTTTTGCATTTCTATATGCCTCCTCTCCCTACTATACCTAAGCTCTCAAAAGACAGTGATGATGGATTTTTTTTTTACTACTTGAATCCTACATAATACCTAACAAAATACTTTACACAGTAAATTCTCAATAAATGTTCAGTGACAAACTTTCACCAACTGTTGTGTATGAGATACATGATAGAGTCATGGTTAAGCATATGGGTTCTATAGGCAAACTACTTGAGTTTCAAATTAGCTGTGTGACCTTGGCCAAATTACTTAACCTGTCAAGGGCTTATTTTCCCAAACCACCTGTAACAATAGTATCAACCCTCATAAACTTGTCATAGAGATTAAATTAAGTAATATATGTTTAAATCTTAGAAGAGTCCCTGCCCCATAAATGCTCAGTAAATGTTATTATTATTAGCCAAACAAAAGTACTAATAAAACGTATACAGGGTGATCTAAACATAAATTTTCTTACAATTTTCTTAATTAGATTAGTACACATACCCTAATACGCATCAAAGTAAGTACAATCTGAAACGATTTTCTACAATACACCAAAGAAAGAAGATATTCTGTGTCTTTCTATATAAATGATCATATCACCCTCACTGGGACTCAGAAGAAAGTTGCATCCAAACTTTAGAATACTTAATTCTAAATAGTCAGTTCCCCAAAACTGCAAGCAAACTAGACCAGCTGCTTCTGTATCAGTGGGGTCAACTATATAAAAAGGTACAGTCTGTTTTGTTCTTAAAAGCCATTCGCTTACTGTAAACATCTTTCACAATTTGGGAAAATTTTTATATTGAAAGAACGTTATTCATTCAATTATAATACTCCTTTTCCCCCATTTTTCTTGTCAACATTTTTCTAGTTCTCTTTTAGGAACAAATTTCCATTTCTACTTTATAAAAAAGCTTTTGTGATAAAGGTAGGGAATTTGTATCCCATAATTGCCCTTATCTATCAGAAAAAATGGAAAACACTGAGTCAAAGTAAGTTTATTGACTTTGCAGACATGATCAGAAATAACAAATTTATAATACTTTCAGCTCCTCTATTCTTTCCTCATTCCAATTTCTCTACTTTTGATTGTTTGTAAACATCAAAATACATAAAGAAGCCACTTCAGGAGAATTATTTAGCACTCAGTTTGACAGAAAAGTCAAATAATAGAAATATGTAATAACAATTACCATGCATAGAAAATGACGAAAATAATCAATATAGTCAATAATAGAAAATCAAGTAGTCAAATTCTATACCCAAGTTTGCTATTTGGTGAAAATATCTAAGGTCTGACTTTTACAATTTGTTTAGTTAAATAAAAAAGAAAAGTTTATCTAAACAAAGATTTCATACATTTTACAATACGAAAGCCAAACTCTTCATGGCTAACACGCAATGAAAAGAAATTATTATTAAAAGAAAGCTCTTGGAGAAAGAAAAAATACATATTTATGAAATCACATTTGGTTTTTAAGACTAGTAAAATAAACTTAAAGGAAAAAACTGAGGGATCAAAAATCTAGCAGATGAACAAATGTGTATTCCTGACTAACAAATATAAAGTCATACCGTTGCTTTCTTCCTCTTTGTTGACGAGGTGGCTCCTCTTGAGGATATTTAAAAATGTCCTGAAAAATGGGTTCATATTTCTTAAAAATTACAGCAGAAACGGTAAAGTTTCTTTCTAATCTCTCAGTACGTTCTCTGAAATGTTGGGGTAGATTTGCCATCTCTTCCCATTTCTTCATCTTGTTAAAAAATTCAATTAGGCTGATATTAAAAATAAAAAAAGATTTTTCATAATTAACACAAGCACAAAAATATAGATAATTAAAAGTAAATAAGAATTAACTCACTAAATTACTTTTAGACAGTGATATAAAATCACAATTCATGCCTCTGATTAGCTTAATCTCTTAGAAATTGACTTCTCATATTGTTGCAGAATAATCAGACTGGCAAGACACCAAGCATCACTAGGAGAGCTGGAGAACTCAGGTTCATTATGCTGTCAGTCCCAGAAGAGCTACTGCTCTGAAGATCTGAGCCCCGAGCTCAGGGGCAACTTTACTTTTATAGGGCTTATCCGCAGAGTTACAGTTTTACAGCTGTCATGGGCTGACTGGTTAATTTGTCCTCAGGCAGTTATAGAGCAGGAGTTGCTATAGGCTACCAACAGTTACAGTGTATGAGATTTTCAAACAGGAACTTAGGCAATACATCTGTTATCTAGACAGAACAAGCAAAAGGGGGAGGATGAGTCTTTAGTTACTCTCGAGGTCACCCTACCCTTCGACCTATGCGGCAAGCATATCTGTAGAACCAGAACAAAAAGCTGATTATAAAGTAGGCCATTTGAGTGAAAAATTCCCTCTTCAATATCTTCCTAATCTTTTTTCTGAGCTTTCCTGAGGGTTTTTAAAAAATTATGAAATATATAAAAATACAAAATAATTGACCAGAGTAATGTAACCAACATTCATGTACTCCATTGCCGGGTCTAACAAATATTAACATACTGAATTTCGCCATGTTTGCTTCAGGTTCTACAGAAACAGCCAAAGCTTCCATTTGCATCCTCCCCATTCCACTCCCCACTATTCTTCCCCAAAGATAACCACCGTTATAAAGTTAGTCCGAATCTTTTCCATTCATGTTTTTATATAGAACTACTTACCTGTAGTTACTATATGGATGTGTATATCCATAAACAGTAAGCACTATCTTTTGGATGTGTGATTTTAAAGTTTTAAATAAATGGTATCATTGTAAGTAGCATTCTGCAACTTACTTCTTCTTGTTTGAGATTAATGTCGATGTGTGCAAATCTAATTTATTCATTTTAATTGCTAAAAATATTCCTTCACATGAACTACCATGATTTTTTGCATTCATTCCCCAGCTAATCAAAATTGCAGTATCTAATTTTTCATTATAACCAAACGTGCTGTAATGAACACATTCTTAAACATGTATGTAAGAGTTTCTTCAGGAAGTACCTCAAGAAGTAGAACCGTTGAGTAAAGAATATGCATTTTCAACTTTACTAGACACTGCGAATTTCTCACGAAAGTGGTTGTGCCAATTTATACTCTTACCAACGTACACCCGCAATAGAGTTCTTGTTTGTTTACATAATGACCAAAATTGGCATTATCGGACTTCAAATTTCCCCAATCCAATGAGAATAAAATGTTATCTGGTTTTCACTTTGAACTTCCTTGATTACTAATGAGGTTGAACATCCTCACCTATATCTATTGGCTATGTGAGTTTTGTCCTTTGTGAAATCATATTTGCTACCCATTTTTCAGTAACCATTTGTCATTTATTTAACCATTTGTTAGTTCTTTATAATTTTGATACTGATCTTATGTCAGTTACGTGTATTGTAAATATCTTTTCCCAACCAGCTCTTTGTTTTTAATCCATTTAGTCTATTATGACAGAAAAGTAAATAATCTGAAACTATAGATAAAATTTAAAGATAAATTTGAATTTTTGAAATGGAAATAAAAGTGAAGCCTAGGATTGTATTACTTGCATTAAAATGTTAGATAAGTTTTATTTGCTATAGTTCATAATGATTCCATAAGCTGACGTTTGTTTCTAAAGTTCCTTGTCACTTAACTGAATTACTCTGCCTCTACTTTCGTCTACTTTCGTCTTTGTAATGATTATACTATTGCACCTTATTTAAGTCCACTTCTCCAGGTTTACAGACCATGTGTTCAACTCTTTATGCGCGGCCTCTTGTTCTTAGGCTTGTTCTTTGAACTCAGGATGGAGTTCAACGTTAATAAACTATAGCTGAAATATTAAATTTCTTGTTAATTATTTTAATAGTGATCTTTTAAATCATTAGGTCCATAAATTGTGACATAGGTATTTACCCTCCAAATGCCCAATATCCAAGATCCTTTTTCCACCAATCTTTCTTAAGTCAGAGAAAATCTACCCGAGGCACAAATAGTAAATGTAATCAATTCAATTGCACAACAAATGGTAAAAGCAATTTCTGCCTCTTATTTAAAGTATTATTTGACCCTTTCTAGAACTGACTATAATAGTGATGCTTATATTCCAAATAGAAAACTTAGAAGTATTTACACATTCTATATATTAAGATATGTCCTGTGCATGTGGTGCCAAATTTAATATCATGTAATAGTTTATCTACCTTTTCAATCTAGAATGTTTCCTAAAGTTTTTAATACCCCTTTTGAATTCTCCAATATTACAGATGAGTCACAACCTTTAATAGTAAACTCTTCATACAAGTGCCTAATACATTAAAGTTTAAATATTTTTCGCCAAGGAAGTAAGCTATAATGGATACTACCTTAGACGTGGTCAAGGAAAACCATGACGTAGCTTCAGAATTCAGCACTCTATAGGTACAAATGCTCAGAAAATGATGAACAAAGAGAATTCTTACTACCACTATGATTTATGAGCTTTCATATCAGTCACACTCTACTTTTCAAACTCTAACATAGTTACCTCTGCTCTGAACAGCGCAGGATTCTGGTTAACGATACATAGTTTCCTTCAACTGTCCCTTTGCTTACAGTTGGCACAGATTTTCTGCAAGCCACATATAAGGCACATGCTAACCAATGAAGATCATTTCCCTGTAAAATAAAAGAAAGTTGATGTTTAGCTAATGAGCTATATGTATTTCAATATAAAAAAATTCTTATGTTTAAATCGAAAGTGATATTTATGTTTGTGGGAAACTGTATTTTCAATGATGGCCCTATCCCATGTGCTCATCTTATAACTCAACTTTGATTTTCTGCCACTGAGAGGCAGGAGTCTGTGTTCCCTCATTTTGAAATGTCTCAACCAACAGCACATGTAGTAAAAGTGATGCTATGTTAACTTCCAATATCATAAAAGGCAATACAGACTCCACCTGGCTCTCTCTCAGGACATGTACCATTAGAGTCCCAACATGGGAGTAGAACACCTTGAGCAAAATACTTAACAGTTACAGAGGTTTGATTTTCTTATCTGAGGACTGTGAGAACCGAATGAATTACAAGTATGCAACACAGAAAATAGAAGAAATCAAAAGATATAAAACACTGCAACCAGTATTCGGCATGAAACATCGCATTACCTTACAGCATACCTAACTATAAGCTCCATAGGCCAGAAATTGAGTAAACAAACACGTTTTCAAAAATAATTTACTAACCATCTCTTATTTGTCACTTGTTTACATAACATTGGATGTCATGTGACTTCACCTCTGAGTTGAAATACCTCAAATGTACAGTAATCTGATTTACAGGATTATCCTGAGGGTAAGACAAGAGCTTATTTGGAGGCATTTATGCCCATCACCAAAAAAAGAATCCTTCTCTTTGCCTGACCACAGGAACCACTGCGAAATAAACAAGAACATGGCCTATTCAGCCAGATCACCTAAGTATAAGAGCGAGCTTTGCAGACTCTGCACGCTGTCCATATGTGTGCTTTATACGCCAGGAACCACATTTTGCCGTATTTAACCTTCAGAAGAACAACTCTATGAGGGTAGCTACAAATCTCTCAAATTTACATATCACAAAATAGAGTTTTGAGGTGGTTAATTGTCCAAAGTCACCTACGTCTGTCAGGTTCTAAAGGCAGTATAGTACTAGCTTTTTATTTTCCTCCTGTAGATACAATGGAGAAGGAACAGAATTAAAATCCTATTAATGGAAAAATAACTAAAAAAAAATGATCTTAAGTGACATATAGGCAAAAATACTCTATCATAGTTAAATACTTTGGTTAGGTCTTCCCATTCTGAGCCTATCTGCCCTACTCTTTCCATAACCTGTAAAACAACTTAAGAAAATCATGTGGCTTCCTGTTTAAATGCTACACACACGGGCAATGAAACAGCTGATAAACAACCACCCAGACTTCCGTGTCACTTCCCATTGGCCCAGAAAGGGGAGGTGCCTACAGAGCCGAGCCTCACTGGCTAGAAAGACCATTTTTTCTCATCTGCGAGTCGCGTCGGAAGAAAGGGACATAGCATACCTGTAAGACACTGACTTATTATAAGAGTCCCGTGTAGTATCTAGGGGAAACAAAAGGTGCTCAAGGTCATCGCGGTCCTGACATCCTAGTGGCAAACAGGGGCGTGTGTCTGTGACCAGCTAGGCAAAAAGCCCATTTCCTGAGCCTTGGAGAAAATGCCTCTTGTACACACACGTACGCGAACACAGCCCGACTCCTAACGACGCGTTTCTGCAAAGAGACGCGACGCCTGGGCGGAGGCAACGCGCTGCAGGAGGAAAAGGACCGAACCAGAAGGCTGGACCCCCGAAACCGGGCTAAGCCCGGTGCGAGGGCAGCAGGCCCCTCCCCGTAAGGCCCTGACCCCTGCACCTGTTCTGCCGACCAGGTGGCTGCGATTTTGTCATCGTGGGCCCAGCCTGGCGGTGCTACTTTAGGGCAGGAGGCGTCCCCCGGGCGGAACGCGAGAGCGAAGAGCAGCGAGACCGGCTCGCCCCCGGGGCCGCGGAGAGCG